CCTGTGTCAGGGAAGTCAACCCGTGGCTCCGGAGTTGGTGCCATCGTGCAGGTTTTGGCTTCCTGGACCATGATCCACACTTCCGTGCAAGGGACCTCCTGGGACACAATGGGCTTCATCTCTCCACAAAAGGTACGAGTCTCTTTTCTTACAGGTTGGCTTACCTCCTATGTTGGGCTTTGAACTAAGTATGATGGGGGACAGGGAGGCAGGAGATGGAGAGAGTCTAGAACCTACAAACTGAAAGACATGCAGCAGCACACCCCGGGTAAGTACCAAGGGGCCCTTTGGGCATCAGAATGGAGGGGGGCAGGCAGCAAAGGCACCATTCAGAGGGCTCAAGTGCCTCTATACTAATGCTAGGAGCATGGGGAACAAGCAGGAAGAATTTGCACTTCTGCTTGCAGACAATAATTTTGATTTAGTGGGGCTAACAGAAACATGGTGGGACCCTACCCATGACTGAGTGATACACATTGAGGGCTGCAGGTTGTACAGAAGGGACAAAGTAGGCAGGAAAGGGGGTGGGGTTGCTCTCTATGTAAAGGAGCATTATACAGCTACCCTAATCAAAATGGGATCAGAGGAGGAGAAAATTGAGGCATTGTGGGTTAGGATGCGTGGAGGTCATGGAGAAAGGGACTTGGTGGTGGAGGTCTGCTACAGACCACCACATCAAGAGGAAAAGATGGACTTGGAATTCTTGAGGTAGCTCTCAGAGGCCATACAGTCTAGGGACATGGTTGTCATGGGGGACCTAAGCTACCCTGACATCTGGTGGGAGGAGCAATTGGTAAAATCCAGCCATTCATGTAGGCTTTTAACCTGTGTGCAGGACCTTCACCTAACACAGGAGGTCTATGGTCCCACTAAGGGGAATGCCTTACTGGGCTTGATATTGGCTACAGGGGAGGAACTGGTAGGGGAGCTACAGATTCATAGTTACCTTGGGGACAGTAACCACCAATCAATTGAATTCACTATATGGCGTAGAGTGGGTAAGATAACTAGTAGGGTGGAAGTGCTTGACTTTAGGAAGGCTAACTTCAGTGTGCTTAGGAGTGCAGTCAGCGACACACTGCAGGAAAAGAGTATTGGCAAGATGGGGGTCCAGGAAGGGTGGTTGTTCCTAAAGGGAGCAATCCTTTGGGCACACAGGGAGACTATCCCAGTACAAGGGAAAAAGGGGAAAGGAGCCAAAAAACTTCCTTGGCTAAACAGGGAAATCCAGGGGAGCCTAAGGACAAAAAAGAGGGCTACCAAGGGGGAGTATACCTACTTGGCCCGCACTTACAGGGAGGCAGTTAGAAAGGCCAAAGCAACTACAGAGCTGAGGCTGGCAGCACAAATTAAAAACAACAAAAGTCTTTTTGTAGGTATGTAGGGAGTAAAAGGAAGGCACAGGGCAGCATAGGACCCCTACTGAACAAGGAGGAGCAATTAGTGACAGAGACGGGGGACAAGGCTGTGCTATTCAATGAGTTTTTTGCCTCAGTGTTCCTGAACAGGACTCAAGATAAGTCTCCTAATGGGTTCTTAGATGGGCATCAGAGGGACACCAGCCCAACAACTGCCAATGCTGACTTGGTGCAGAGTCACTTGGATGAACTGGATGTGTTCAAGTCAGCAGGCCCAGATGAGCTGGATCTAATGGTACTGAAAGAACTGACAAGTGTCACAGCAGAACCACTGGCACAGCTGTTTGAGTGCTCATGGTGCTCGGGTCAGGTCCCGGAAGAGTGGAAAAGGGCCAATGCGGTCCCTATTTTCAAGAAGGGGAGGAAGGAGGATCTGAGTGATTATAGGCCAGTCAGTCTCACCTCTGTCCTTGGAAACGTCTTTGAAAAGATTATGAAGGATCATATTTGTCGGAGTCCAGAGGGAAAAATAATGCAGCAGGGAAACCAGCATGGATTTGTAGCAGGTAGATCATGCCTGACCAATCTGGTTTTGTTTTATGACAGGGTCACAAAATGCTTAGATGCAGGAGTAGGGGTGGATGTCATTTTCTTGAACTTAAGCAATGCCTTTGATACGGTATCTTATCCTATTCTCATAAATAAATTAAGAGGCTGTGACATAGATGTTTACATAGTCTGGTGGGTGCAAATTGGCTTAGCAGTCTCACCCAGAGAGTGGTAGTAGACAGATCGGTATCAACCTGGAAGGATGTGGGTAGTGGGGTCCTGCAGAGTTCAGTCCTTGGACCAGTACTCTTCAATATCTTCATCAGTGACTTGGATGTGGGGGTGAAGTGTACTTTATCCAAGTTTGTGGATGATACTAAATTGTGGGGTGAAGTGCACACTCGAGAGGGTAGGGAACGATTGCAGGCAGACCTGGACAGGTTAGAAAAGTGGGCAGTACACAATAGGATGCAGTACAAGGACAAGTGCAGAGTGGTACACCTAGGGAACAAAAATATCCAGCACACCTACTGGCTGGGAAGTGACCCTCCCAGGAGCACAGAAGTGGAAAGGGATCTCGGAGTCTTAGTGGACTCCAAGATGAACATGAGTTGTCAGTGTGACAAAATCATCAGCAAAGCTAACTGCACTTTATCATGCATCAGCAGATGTGTGACAAATAGATCCAAGGAGGTGATACTTCCCCTCTATGCAGCATTAGTCAGACTGCAGTTGGAGTACTGCTTCCAGTTTTGGGTGACATACTTCAAGTAGCATGTTGATAGACTCGAGAGGGTCCAGAGGAGGGCCACTCATATGGTTAGGGACTTACAGGACAAGCCTTATGAGGAGAGACTGAGGGACTTGGATCTCTTCAGCCTCCGCAAGAGAAGGCTGAGAGGTGATCGTGTGGCTGCCTACAAATTCATTAGGGGGATGCAGCGAGGGATCAGAGATGCTCTGTTCACCAGGGCCCCTCTTGGGGTAACAAGGAACAATGATCACAAAGTGACAGAGAGCAGATTTAGGCTAGATATCAAGAAAAACTTCTTCATGGTAAGGGTGGCCAAAATTTGGAATGGGCTTCCAAGGGAGGTGGTATTCTTCCCTATCTTGGGGGTCTTTAAGAGAAGGCTGGATAGGCATCTGGCTGGGGTCACCTGACTCCAGCACTCTTTCCTGCCTAAGCAGGACCCGATGATCTGTTGAGGTATTTTCCGAGCCTAACATCTATGAATCTATGAAGCTATAAGGTACTTTGAAGAAGAAATGGGATTGGAGCAGCATTTCAAGACTCCATAGCCGATTACAGCATCTAACCCTAGACACACCTTCAGACTGGCATGTGTCCCCAGACACATGGCAGAGCTGGGCAAGTTCTTTAAAAAAAAGAAAAACATATTATGAATATTTAATCAAATTGCTAAGAGAGATTTGCATTGTCTTTGTGCTGTTAAACAGCTACTTTCTGCCAAGTTCAATGGCAAGAGTATTCAGAGAGCTAATTTTAAGCAAATGTCAGAGTACCTGACACAAGTAATAGAACTTCTCTATTACAATCCACTTGCATAACACAAGGTCCCTTTATAGCTAAAGCAGAGCTCTCCTGTGTAGTATACAGTGAATGTAAAGGTATTGCATTTTCATGTTGGTCTCTTCACAATAGCGTTGATGTGAGGAAAACACATAATCAAACACTGGCTCTATGTAATTGTTCTAACTCATGCTTATCAGCATGTGGAATCTTGCTACACTTATACGCTACTTCTCTAACAGGCTCCACGTAGAGCCTCCACTTTTTTTTAATGGCACAAAAAAGACTATAACCACAGCAATGATAAGTCTAACATAATGAAAAATAACCTTGCCAACACATCCTCCCTTGTGACGTGTTGTCTATCATTGCAACGGTAGATTAAGTCAATATTTTCACTTTATTATTATATTACATTATTGATCTTACCTTTGAAAAACTGCTATTCATATTTTCTTTGCAAGATGTACTGCTGCATGATAAGATCAAAATATTTCAAGTAAACTTTCAGACAATTCTACTTTGTTGTTCAGAGTGGCCAAATTTAATATTTTTAATGTTTGTGTCCTGGGAAAAAGAACCAGCTACACCTTTTGAAACCACTATATTCACTTTCATCTAATTCCTCAAGACTATTTGGAAGAATATAGAAAGTTGCATCAGAAATGGCCAGCATTCAAACAGTTGTGATGGTCAGATAGATGGTCAGTGGAACATAGATTTCTGAAGAGCTACAGATTAACACAGTGTAATAGTAAGCCATTTAAAGCTTATGTCCTTTCTACCAAAAACATTTCTTTATTTCATGGCTGCCAAATACACAAGGATTCTGTTATGTGGCAAAGAAAATATTCCCAGAAGCTTCTCTTTTTTTTTTTTTAACCCTTAAGACCCTTTTCTGGAATAGTGAAACCCATATTATGTTAAAATATAGGTGTTTCTCATTCATTTTGTACACATGACGCTACTCTGAAAGCACAAATGAGCAAGGTTCAGTAGAGTTTCTGTAAGAGCAGTTGCATATTCTTTATAATGGCCATATCCCCAAGTTCTCCCTAATTTCTCAAATGAGCAATCCCATTCATTTTAAATTCCATGGACTTCAAATCCTCCTCAGCTCATGTCAGCAGTCCCATTCAAGCCAGGGATAGAAAGTAAATAATAATAATGGAAAAGGCAAATCTCAAGTTTTTTGTGTGCCATCTCAGTGCTTAACTGACAAATGGTAAAAACCAGAAGGTCCTCTGATGAGCTATCTAACCAAAGAGTGAAAAAGAATCACTACACCAATACTAAATTCAGAAGTTATGCCAGAATTTAATCATATTTTAAATGCTGGCATTAATGCTATCCTACAACATAGAATTTGCTCATGTTCTCTCTCTTTCATTCTCTCTCACACATACATTATTACTTTCAATCTCTATTTATAGACTATCAGGTGATTATTGTAGTATATTTTGTATGGTAAGCTCAAAACTGGGGAACTTATCTGTTCTCTTCTGTATATCTGTGGCTTGAGTGACGTTTCAGGAACTATAAACTGTTCACCACAGGTCTTCAGTAACAGCTTTTAACCACACTGGATTGTTAGCCTACCAAGATTCTCCTAGTGAATATCTGGATTTCTCTGCATAGTGAGCATGAGGTAAGCACTTTAATTTTATTTAACAGTAGTATGGAAGATAGCTTTGAAGAAAAAAAAACATATAGGGAAGGAAATCATTTCCCAATTTCAAAAACAAGAAGAAAAAGCAGATAAAGCTCTAAACCCAAATGAGAAAACCTTAGCTGTAAACTGAATTTAACAGGCTCCTTCTGAGATAAAAACAGAGAGAAACCTAAAAGTAAAAACTCTAGGACAAACTTTAGGAAAAGCTTGTGTTTGTACTCAGGCTACAACAGTGAAGGTCAGTATTATGTCTAGGTAAGATAAATGTGAAAATGTGAAAATGTTGCATTGGTCTGTCATGGTCAGGAGTCCATGTAAAGGAACTCAGACCTGTTTTTTTCTATAGCATCTATATCTTAACAACATTTTTAACATTCAACAAGCATTTATGAAAAGAAAAAGGAAAACAGAGAGGCAATTATTGGTGTTCACTATTGATCTTGTAACAATGGCCAAAGAGCAAGAGTCTGTGCTGATGTTACTAGTTCCATCAGACGCCTTTGATAAAGATATCACAATTGGTAACATTTTCAAGTGACTTAGGAATCCAAGTTGTATTGCCAGTCAATGAGACTTAAGTTATTAAAGTACTTTTGAAGTGCCCCAGAGTGGCATAACTTTGAGTCACCCAATGCGTGCGTAAAACTAGTTTCGGGTGTTAATATGTGGACAATCCTGGGGTTAAGAGCTCAGGAGCTGCCTAAAATGAATGTGTTACTAACAAGGCCCAAGGTTTCTTAAAAGCATATCTACCTTGAATGTCAAACAGTGGGGATATGAAGTGGTCCAGCTGTGTGCACCTCAGCAAGACCGGACCATAATGCCTTTGAATGATTTCCTTGTTTCATCTTTTGGGGAGATCTCAGATAGTCTTGTGATACATTTATTGAGTTGGCCTGAAGATACTCCCCAAGCGGGGCTTGTCTTGTCCTTTTTGCCAGGGGTGTAAAAAGAGGTCACATTCAGAGGATGAGGGAAGAAGACAGTGCAGCGTTTCAGTATGTTGAAAGCCCTGAGCTTTCTGTTCTTTACAGTGAGGCTAATTGGGTACCTCTTCCCAAGCTCTACAAGAGAAACACACATGAATGAAAGCGAGATGAATAACCCATGCAAGATAAAGGAATGACTGGTGGGCAGGAGAAAGCTACAAGAAGAAAAATACATGAAAATTCTTTGTAACCAACTACAGGTGTCTGCTGTCACCCATTCAAATACCTGCAGCCTAGGAATCTGGCTGGATTCTCAAACGTGACTGGATGATCTTATATCAGCAGGAGCCCAGGTGACATGTCACTATTTGTTCAGTAGGAAGGCTACAGCTTTATTTCTGCTGTGATATTCAGTACTAATGTTACTTCAGACCTAAACTATTGTGATGCATTGTACTTGGGCTATATTTTAAACCTATTTCACAAAGACAACTGGAAAAGAAAGTAGCAGCCTCTCACTGTCTTGCCACAATCTTATTCTGTCAGTACTCGATATTCTGTACCAGCTGCTTGTGATTTCCGGGTGAAGTTCAAGAGCACAGAGGCTAAGACCTCTCACGTGTGGCAAAATGTCTTAGGAAGAAAGATCTGTTTAGACACAGAATAAGTGGTCAGAGGTATCTAGGATATGTGTATGTGGTGCAAAGGAGTTCCATGACAAGACACCTAAAGCCATCCCCATGCGCACTAGCTCTGGACTGGACCACACACATCACTGTTATCTTCTGTAAATGCAAACAACCATGCAATAAACACAAGAGGCTTCAGAGCACCCAAAAAGGAAGAAAAACTTAATATAAACCACAGGAAGAGAGACAGAAAAGCCATGACACCAATAAATATTTTGACAGCAAATATGCCCAGATGATTCTAGCGTGTGGACTGTGCCTGAGACTACAGAGCAACGGTGGTAAACCAAACAAACCAAAGGTCTTTGCTAGTCAAGGGATCATTTCCTTCCTGACCCCAAATTTGGTTGTCAATTTAATCTGGCAAGCATGTAAACCAGACCCAACAGCCAGGCACCTGAGAGATCTTTCGGTAGCATTAGGAGTACTTGCACATCTGGAAGATTTGTCATAGCCCCTTGTTCCAAAGGCAACATAATAAATAATGGCAGAGCCAGGGCTAGAGCTCAGGCTCTCCAGACTCCCAGTGCTGTGCCCACTCTTCCAGCTGATAAAGTAAGAAAAACAAATAAATAGATAAAGCACTTGAAATTTGGTTCTCATCACCATAGTATGTGAATGCCTTTCAGTAATGTATTAAGCATGCCTATATATCCACCATGTGCTATTTGTCCTCTCCATAGATATAAGTTTGTCTTCTCTATTTGTTTTGCTGGGGCTTTAGTTTCTGGTTTTTTTTTTTAAATATTTATGTGTTCCTGTGTTTTTAAATGAGAGAAGGCAAAGTCAAGGAGCAGAATATAGTGAGGTGTATGAGGGTCCTTAGTTCCTAGGACTCTTAATTACAGCCCTGGACCAGCAAGGTTGTCTACCGCTGTCATAGTGTAACTAGGGTGGGGTGAGCAGGGCACCAACCCCAGATGCTGTCTATGAAGGGGTGCCAGGATCACACCCACAGGAGGGGCAACCCCGCGCTGCTCTGTCTGGCCATAGGACAGAGCAGCCCTGCACCTAACAGTGTATTTTGGGGGCCAGGAATGAGTGGAGTGGGCAGAATGGTGCTCCTTCCCCCTTGAGGAGCCTTTGCCAGAGCAGGCACAGCCTTGTACCCAGTATGCATGTATTGGGGTTGTGGGGTAGGAAGCAAACAGGGACTCAGTATCAGCTTCCAGGGAGCCCAGCCATAGGGTTGCTCCTGCCAGGATGGAGCTGGTGCTCCTACAGCAGCAGCAGGAGCCTGGGAAGGTAATTTTTCCCTTGCCTTCACCCACATTCCTCCACACACCCTACAATGGTTAGCATATCTCTATGCTGCCCTCTTCTCCTCCCACCCCGGGCACTCAATTAGCTCACTATGCCTCTGACCCCTGTCTTCATCCCAGGATTCTGGCCTGCACTACCAATAGCCAGAGCCCAGTCCACAAAGCATGTTGAAGACCCTGAAATCCTATGGGAAACTAACAATAATAGAAAAGGACTGATTTGATATGCTAATAGCCTGTGTTGCTGAAGTGATATGGTCTTCTGTACCTGTTGGAATTTGAATGTACTTGTGGAGGAAACTTACCAAAGGTAGGAAAAAGGTGTCAGGACACCGCACCGGCAGCTGGCAACAGTGAAAGTGAAATGAAGATCAAAAGGAAAACCCGTGGCAGACCCAGGAGGAGCTGGGAATGGCTCCCGTGTCTGTTTGGGCATACTTTGTAAAAGTGTGCCAGGGCGATTGGCCAGGCGGCCACCCGACACCAGGATAAAAGGCCTGGCGGGAAGGAAGCTGGGGGGACTGGAAGTAGTATCCCCAACCAGCCCAGAGAGGCCAGAGAGCACAGAGGATCCTGCAGAGGAGGAAATGTGGTGGCGCCCCAGAGGGGGAAGCACGGAAGGCAAGTTGGGCCAGCAAGGACCCAAGGAGTCACTTAGGAAGCCGGCGTGGATGGAAGCCAGCAACAGCAGCAACTGGGACACCAGCGGAGACAACAGAGCCAGAACCCGGGCATGGACACCAAACAACAGGTACCAAACTCGGGGAGGGAATGACGCGACAAGGGGTCCCGAGTCCCAGATGGAGTCAGGCACCGCATGAACTGGAAGACACTGGAGGGCGGGAGCGGACACTCGGTGCAAGTACCACCTGTAGCCCACAGGTGCAGCCCCTAAGTAACCAAGCATCAGTGAGAGCCAGAACACTGGCCCTGATGGACAACATCACAGTTGGCATTAGGCGGGGTGTAGGGGAGGTGGAGCCCCAAGAAGCAATAGCCACGAGGACAACTGAGGGGGAGTACCAGGGGAGACAGGACCAGACACCATACTCCCGCTAGAAAACCATCACCATCAAAGGTGTGGCAGGTGAGACCCCTGGGGAGCTGACCCAAGGCCACTCCCAGTAGCTTGGCCATGCAGCCCAGAAGGCGATGGCAAGGTTCGAGAGAAACCCAGACGCGCGATGCTCGGGGGCAGAGGCACAGAAGGTTACAGTACGAAAGACTTCATGCATAAGCAATGCATAGGGGAGGCACAGAGGGACATGTGCCCCAGCTGAGAGTGCTGGGGCTCCCCCCCGAGAGTGAGCGCTCCAGCTGTTAGAGAGGCACGGAGAGCGCTCGTGCCCCCCCTGAAATTGGCTCTGCTGCCAGGATGTCACTGGTGGACACCCCAGTAGCAGAAGTGCCAGCAATTTCACCGCCACCGTACCACATGCAGAAATGCTGGCATTTCTGTCGCTGCCGTGCCACAAAGGGCTGGCTTGATATGTTTACAGCAGCCTGTGTTGCTGAAGTAATATGGTCTTCAGTACCTGTTGGAAGTCCCATGTACTAAAGACTTTATGCAGGGGTGTACTTCAGTGCTGTGGTTCACCCAAGAAAAGTGTGAATACTTCAGGCCAGGTTATCATTGCTCACAAGGGGATGAAGTCTTCTCTCAAACAAATGAGACAGAACATCACTCCTACATGTTTCTCTGTGAGATAACGGCACAGAAAATCTAGCAAACTCCTAGGCTACAGACAAAAGTGAACAACTGTGGATGTGCATCTTCAACTACAGGAGACTGCACCATGGTGGCAAATTCAAATCTAAAAGTGAGATAAGTTATTCATCTTCCCACGCTCCCTTTCCTTCATTTGAATTCTGTAATGCCACAGAGCAAAAGAAAAGATTGATTAGTAAATATGTTGCTGGAACCAAACTTGGTTTTAGGAAAGAGGAAGAATAAAGCTGTTGTTGGCATCGAGTTCAATACTTAAGAATATTTTGTTGGGAGTATGAAAGAGTGGCAGAATTGTAAATGTCTTTTTTGGAGGAAGTTTTGAGAAAGAGGGATAATTATGAAACAATCTAGAGACTGACAGTGTGAA